GCCACTGGGAACTCCCTGGGGTTCCTCAGCTAGGGCCGTCCACCCGTGCCAGCCCTGCTTCAGCCACGGATTCCATGGTCAGGGCTGCCCAATCCAGTCCTGCTGCCATCAGGGGTATCCTGGGGTTCCCAGCCGGTGGGCCCTACTACTGCGGGGGTGGAGGTGGGAAGACAGGGGTGGGGAGGCAGGGCTACACCCCCTACCACCAGAAGCCCTGCTGCAGCTGGAGTTCCCCAGTTGGTGCCAGGATTCCCTGGACGCCTGGCCCAGATGACGCCAGGGGTTCTTTGGCCGGGGGGGAGGTCCCTTGGACGCTGCCTCGTCCGGACACTGCCTAGTCCAGCCGCTGCTGGCCTAGCCGGATCTCCCCAGTCCCATGTTCTTTCAGCCGCTCCCACCTCAGGGGCTCTTTAGTCCAGCAACATCTGTGGCATTGCTGGAACAAGGATTTTGCTGGACCAGATAGAGTCCTGGATTTGGGAGGGTCAACCTATAATAACAATTTCCAAAGCTATGTAAATAGGTAAGCACTCATTGAAGGCTGCACTCCCCTTATTCCTGAAAGATTATTACTGCTTACAGGTAGAATTTTCATTGACGTAAAACTTCTTTCTCTGAAGTTAAAGGGGACTTTTATTTTTGACTTCAAAGGGAACCAAGTTAGGTCAACTGAACACTTAACCCCGCCCCTCCCCCGAAACATTACATTTCTTAAAAAGTTAAATTGTATCACTTCCTACCTATCAATCCCCATTCCCTACTACAAAATATTACCCAAAATAGAGGCCCTAGTAGCTGGCTTACATACTTCAGGGAAGTGAAAATACTTTGCCCCCCGCCTCCTGCAAAAAACAAACAAGCCCCATATTGAAGACCATTCTCAGCTGCAGAGAGATGGATTGTTTTCCAGAGGAAGCCAACTCAAACTGCGTTTGCAGCTCATTCACATTACCGCAAAGAAAACACTTCAGGCTGAAGATAAGGTTACACACCCTGTGCAATAACTAGGATTCTTTAAGATGCGTCTCCCTGTGGGTGCTTCGCTTTAGGTGATCATGTGCCCCTGAGCCCATACTCAGAGACTTCTGGTAACAGTTTCTCATTGGGTTACACATATGTGGTCCCCATTTCATGTTTTTTCAGGCAGTAAACTGATGCCATGCCACCAGTCCCCCCTCAGTGCTTTCTCTGCTCCAGAGACAGTAAAAAATTTAAAAGAAGAGAAGTAGAGGGGAAGAGGGAGCATAGTGGAGCAACAGCAGGGACACACATCTTGAAGAACTTCCATTACTGCACAAGGCCAGTAACCTTCCCTTCTTTGAGTGCTGTACCTGTGGGTGCTCCACTTCAAGTGACTTAAGAACAGTGCCCACCAGTGGAGGGAGAGGGCCTTGGAGTTGAAGTTGTGACAGATGACAGGGTTGCCAGATGGTTTCAACATAACTTCCAGACACACTTGACATTACATCACAATCTACATTATATCTTATTTAGAAAATACAGAACATCTATATTTTCTCATTTATATTTTCTCAATTTGTTTCCCAAACAGAAAACTGAAATACTGGACTGTCTGGTTCAAAACCGGACAGCTGGCAACCCTAATGACAGTACAGAGAGTCCAAATGAGGTATCAGATGTGATACATAATGCCATGTAAAGGTATAGACTGAGGCCCAGGTAGCAGCTCTACAAATGTCTGATGTGTCCATTTTCAGGAAAGCCATGGAGGCCAATAGGGCTCTGGTTGAATGTATGTGATTTCCCTTGGGTGGGGTTAGAGGTCACACTGATGATGGCATAGTTTTATGCAACTGGAGATCCACTTGGTGAGTTTTTGTTGAAATATGACACTCCCTTTGGAACATTTGGTTATGGATGTGAACAGTCTGGGTGATTTACGAAATGGCCATGTTCTTTCTATGTAAAAGGCTAATGACCTCTGTACATCGAGAGTATGAAGCACAGACTGCATTCTATCTATGTATGCTTTGGGGTAGAATGTCGGTAGGTAAATAGGTTGATTAAAGTGGAAAATAGAGATGACTTGTGGTAAAAACTTGGGATGTGGTCTCAGGGGTAATTTATCTTTTAAAAAGTCTTGAGTATGGGGCATCGTCCATGAGGGCCCCCAGTTCTCCTACACATCTGGCAGATTTAATTCTCACAAGGAAAGCCACTTCCATGGAAAGGTGTAGTAGGGAACATGTCACCATAGGTTCAAATTGGGAACAGGTAATGGCCCAAAGGACCAGGCTGAGGTCCTATAGTGTAGTAGGCTCACATGGTTCTGGGTAGACATTGTTGAGTCATCTGAGGAAATGTTTTGTTACTGGCTGGGCAAAGACAGGATGTTGATTTACCATGGGTTGAAAGGCTATGATGGCAAATAAGTAAACTTTTATTGATTTCATGGAGAAGCCTGACCTTTTAAGTTCTAATAGATAATCTAATATTGAGGGTAATGAGACGCAGATGGATGCCATCTGTTTTTGTTGACACCAGGTTTCAAATCACTGCCACTTGAGTATATATGTGTGGTGGATATTTGCTCTACTTATTATTTAATAATAAGTTTTGAACCTCTTCTAAGTGCATCACCCACAGGGACAGCACTCAAAGAAGTGCTAGACACTCATATTAGACTATAAAACACATATGGTATAGAATTACAACTTACATATGTGTTTCCATATAAACAACAAGATGCAATAATTTATCTAGCATTTTGGGCATCATAGATGTTGATAAACATCAACCTCATATGTACCCAATTCACAGCCTGGATCATACCTTTGCAATGGTTGTCTTCAGTGAGTTCATAACCAGTTCCACAGCTTGTTTCACGCTGACAACGGAAGGATCCTACTGTATTGATACAAGTTTGTCCAAGCCCACAATTGTGTGTCCCAGTGATGCACTCATTAATATCTGAAGTAACCAAAATGGACAGAGAATATGAACAGTTAGCACAAAAGATCTGAAATTTTTGAGGCAAGAAACAATCATGGGTCAGCTTTGGGGGTTACAGAAATTTTGAAAACCCAGATGGGGGGGAACTGTGGATTCCATCTCCCACAAAAAGTAAGCGCTCTTATCTGCTCTCAATTTTTAGCCATACACTGTGGCTACGTCTACACTGGCCCCTTCTTCGGAAGGGGCATGCTAATTTTGAAAGTGGGAATAGGGAAATCCGCGGGGGATTTAAATATCCCCCGCGGGATTTAAATAAACATGGCCGCCGTTTTTTTTCTGGCTGTGGGAAAAGCTGGAAAAAAGCGTCTAGACTGGCCCGATCCTCCAGAATAAAGCCCTATTCCGGAGGATCTCTTATTCCTACTTCAAAAAAAGCTGCGGACGTGTTTATTTAAATCCCGCGGGGGATATTTAAATCCCCCGCGGATTTCCCTATTCCCACTTTCAAAATTAGCATGCCCCTTCCGAAGAAGGGGCCAGTGTAGACGCAGCCTGTGTTTTCAACTATCAGGATATAATATCTCATGTCTAGGATGTACTATATTTTATATGTTTCAGAGGAGTAGCTATGTTAGTCTGTACTTGCAAAAACTTAAAAAACTAATAGTCCTGAAGCACCTTAGAAACTTATTACAACCATCTACTATCTATCCTGGAAAATGACCCTTCACTCTCACAGGCCTTGGGAGACAGGCTAATCCTCACCTACAGACAACCCTCTAACCGCAAACAAATACTTCCAGCAACCACGCAACAAACCTCCATTATACTCATCCAGGAACCCACTCTCACATTCAACTCTGGTGCCACACATCTATGCAAGCGACATCATCACAGGACATACCCACATAAACCACCACATCAGAGGCTCATTTAATTGCACATCCACCAATGTGATCTGTGCCATCAAATGCCAGCAATGCTCCTCTGCCATGTCAGTCTCTATGACAAAGGATTAATGGACACAAATCAGATATTCGAAAAGGTAACACACAGAAACCTGTTGGGAAACATTTTAACTTGCCCGGGCATTCATTAATGGATCTCAAAGTTTCCATATTATTACAAGCCAATTTCAAAAACCCATCTTGAAAGAGAAGCTGCAAAGCTTAATTTCACTTACAAGTTTGATACCTATAAGAATATAAGAACGTAGAAATAGCCATACTGGGTCAGACCAAAGGTCCATCGACCCCAGTACCCTGTCTGCTGACAGTGACCAATGCCAGGTGTCCCAGAGGGAGTGAATCGAACAGGTAATGATCAAGTGATCTCTCTCCTGACATCCATCTCCACCCTCTGACAAACAGAGGCTAGGGACACCATTCCTTACCCATACTGGCTAATAGCCATTTATGGACTTAACTCCATGAATTTATCTAATTCTCTTTTAAACCCTGTTATAGTCCTAGCCTTCACAACTTCTTCAAGCAAGGAGTTCCACAGATTGACTATGTGCTGTGTGAAGAAGAACTTCCTTTTATTTGTTTTAAACCTGCTGCCCATTAGTTTCATATGATGGCCCCTAGTTCTTATATTATGGGAACAAGTAAATAACTTTTCCTTATTCACTTTCTCCACATCGCTCATGAGTTTATATACCTCTATCATATTCCCCCTTAGTCTCCTCTTTTCTAAGCTGAAAAGTCCCAGTTTCTTTAATCTCTCCTCATATGTGTTCCATTCCAACCTCTAATCATTTTAGTTGCCCTTCTCTGAACCTTTTCTAATGCCAGTATATCTATTTTTAGATGAGGAGACCACACCTGTACGCAGTATTCAAGATGTGGGTGTACATGGATTTATATAAGGGCAATAAGATATTCTCCGTCTTATTCTCTATCCCTTTTTTAATGATTCCTAACATCCTGTTTGCTTTTTTGACTGCCACTGCACACTGCGTGGACGTCTTCAGAGAACTATCCACAATGACTCCAAGATCTCTTTCCTGATTAGTTGTAGCTAAATTAGCTCCCCATCATATTATATGTACAGTTGGGGTTATTTTTTCCAATGTGTATTACTTTATATTAAATTTCATTTGCCATTTTGTTGCCCAGTCCCTTAGTTTGTTGAGATCTTTCTGAAGTTCTTCACAGCCTGCTTTGGTCTTAACTACCTTGAGCAGTTTAGTATCATCTGCAAACTTTGCCACCACACTGTTTACCCCTTTCTCCAGATCATTTATGAATAAGTTGAATAGGATGGGTCCTAGGACTGACCCTTGGGGAACACCACTAGTTACCCCTCTCCATTCTGAAAATTTACCATTTATTCCTACTCTTTTGTTTCTTGTCTTTTAACTAGTTCTCAGTCGATGAAAGGATCTTCCCTCTTACCCCATGACAACTTAATTTACATAAGAGCCTTTGGTGAAGGACCTTGTCAAAGGTTTTCTGGAAATCTAAGTATACTATATCTACTGGATCCCCCTTGTCCACATGTTTGTTTACCCCTTCAAAGAACTCTAATAGATTAGTAAGACAGGATTTCCCTTTACATAAACCATGTTGATTTTCCCCCAACAAATTATGTTCTTCTATGTGTCTGACAATTCTCTGCCATTCTTGCGCAAGAATCTGCAGACAGTCCATGCTGCCCGCCCACTCTTGCGCAAGAAGATTTACAGTATGGCGTGGTAAGAGAGGTCTTCTTGCTCAAGAGCTATGCTCTTTTCTAACAGGTGTAAGCTCTCTTGCGGAGAAGCTCTTGCACAAGAGGGCAGTGTGGACAATTAGCAGGGGTTTCTTGCACAAGAAAGCCCTATAGCTAAAACAGCCATAAGAGCTTTCTTGCGCAAGAGAGCATCCACACTGCCATGGATGCCCTTGTGCAAAAGCACATCTCGTACATGGGAGTGTGGATGTTTTCTTGTGCAAGCCTTCTTGCACAAGAACCCTTGCGCAAGATATTCTTGCACAAGAAGCTGCAAGTGTAGACAAAGCCTCTGTGTCTGGCAATTTTATTCTTTACTATTGTTACAACTAATTTGCCCGGTACTGACGTTAGACTTACCAGTCTGTAATTGCCAGGATTCTCTCTAGAGCCCTTTTTAAATATTGGCATTACATTAGCTATCTTCCAGTCACTGTGTACAGAAGCTGATTTAAAGGATAGGTTACAAACCAGAGTTAATAGTTCCACAATTTCACATTTGCGTTCTTTCAGAACTCTTGGGGGAATGCCATCTGGTCCTGGTGACTTGTTACTGTTAAGTTTATCAATTAATTCCAAAACTTCCTCTAAAGACCCTTCAATCTGTGACAAGTCCTCAGATTTGACACCTACAAAGGATAGGTCAGGTTTGGGAATGTCCCTAACATCCTTAGCTGTGAAGACTGAATCAAATAATTCATTTAATTCTCTATAATAGAGGTTTAAACAAAGACATTAATTGGATTACCCGCTACATTCCACTTCTTAATGACATAAAAAGTCAAACACCAGGTACTTAAGAGTACTTAGAACCCTCTCTATCAGCTTCTTTAGCATGGACTCTCTAATTAACTATTCTTTTCCCATTTTTCCTCTTTTCCCTTCCCTCTCCATCCCGTCTCTTTCTCTGCTATTTATTTGGATCCTGGACCCCTTAAACTCCATTCATCCAAAAAAGTGGGCTGTGCCCATGAAAGCTCATGATGCCATCTACATTTTTGTTAGTCTCTAAGGTGCTGCAGGACTATTCTTTGTTTTTCAAGATTTTATATTTTATATGAATATTCATTTACGACGATAAAAGAAAAGGCTAGCTTAACTGCTATCTTCACTACCAAGTAGGGATGTGAAAGTATAACCATGGCTCATTAGTTAACCTTCACGGTTACATGCAGGCTCCTGGTATGTGCAAGGAGATAGCTTAAAAGTTGGCTCCCCATATGCCCTGGCTCCTGGGGAGCCGCCTGCCTCCTCACCATGTTGCTGCAGGTGGGATAAGTGGGAGCCAATGCAGCCAGCTCTGCACACACCCTGGCTCCTGGGGAGTCACCTGCCTGTCCTGCATGTAACCGAGTAAACATTGACATTTTCAGCAGTTACATGTTTACTTAATTCAATGCATTTTAACATCTCTGCTACCAAAACCAAACTTGAGGCCTCTCCTGTGTCCTATCCATCTGCAAACTCTCCATCTGCCCCACTGAACTGGTCTCTGCCCAGCTCCTTACCTTTATTGTCCCCATGTTCACACCCAACCTAACTCAGTCTTTCTTTGTCCAATGTCTTCTGCCCTCCCAATATAAGCATGTGCTAGTCTCCATCTTGAAAAAGAAATCCACAAAAGCAAAACACTTCTCCCTTTAAGCAACAAACAGAGGCAAGCTTTTCATTTCTGTTACCTTCACAGGTGACACCATCAGACAGAAACTGGTACCCAACAAAGCAGGAGCATACAACACTGGAGCCTGTGTCCCTACACTGCTGTGTGCAGGGACCGCCTCCTAAAAACAGATATGATATTTTTAAGAACAAAGTACACAATTTAGTTCATCACTAAAAATTCGGAAGATATCAACTACTTAATCTAGAGGAGTGCCCAGCAACATACTGGATGTTTTCCTAGTATGCTTCAAGAATTTGGGAAATATGGACCAATACTGAAGGAAATGTTCACACGTAAGGAGAAAGAAACTAGCTTTTTAAACATTAACCTTAAAATCAACCAACATCATAAATAATATACTATTATATTATATAACAGATACCATTGTGGGTAACTGTTGGCAAAATGTGACATTTTAATATCAACTACTATCTAATAAGAAAGGCTAGAAGGCAATAATGGGCTAAAATCAGACATTTGCCTAATGAAGAACCCTCAGGGAGGCCTGAGGGTAAGTTCCATTGCCTCACACATTTGAGCTCATCTGGGGGGGGG